GAGTGGAGAGGGGTTGGTAAGCTAATTGGGAGAAGCTGCCTGGTCAGGAACCTGCAGAGGGAAGTCCTTTGTTTGGGCTGGAAATGTTTGTACTGCAGGAACAGAGACCTGCAGAGGGAATCTCCTGTCTGCATGTGGAAGAGCTGGGGGAAAGAGACAGCCCAGAGGGGGAACCAGCTGTAAGACTCCCAAATCTGTAGTGGGGTGTGAAGGGACACTTAACCCCTAGTGGTTTTTTTCAGAAGAAAGCTAAAGAAAAATAGCCTCTTACCTGCAGTGGCTGACTGGAGACTCTTTTTTGCTGAGTTACCAAGAAGGAGCAGAGTCCACCTTCCTGAAGCAGCAGATGCCTCCCCTCTACTACCTAGTGGTGAATCGTAGTTAAAGCTATATTGCCATTTATTCTTATGGGGAAGGGGAGTGTGACCAGAGGGAAATCAACTTGGGTTATGGGGGAGGGGGATTGTTTTAAAGTGTTATAACCAGGTGAATGTAATCACTGAAGTTGTTTGATGAAAGTGGGACCACCCAGCATGGTGAAATTATTCATCTATTTTTGCAGTTGTAAATTCTATTCAAATTTTTGGTTGTATTATTAACTATTGCTTTTATATATAGTTTATATAAATTATATACATTAAATTATAATTTCTTTTCCATATATAGTTGTATATAATAAAGAAACCCATTTATTTATTGGACTTAAAATAAATTCTTGGGCGGTGAGGGTAACGGACACACCTCTCCATGGGACACCTCAGTCAGCAGACCTGCCTGAGGGGGTTCTTAGGGTACTGGCACCCTGAGGATCCAGAATCTGGCATATCCCCTAACCTAGCATGCTGGTCAGGGTTACACTTAAGTTCCCAGATCCAAAATTCAGATTCTCCAAAGACCTACTCAGCTGCCTCCTCAGCCTGGCAGTGTCTACAGCTTGCAGGGGGTTTCATTTTCCATCCAGTAAAGCCCTTCACCTGCCAAAACAGTTCTGCTGATAGCCACAGCAAGAACCTGACACTGTTGAGCACTTGCCTCGTGCCTAAGCCCTGTCTGGGTTTACAGACAAGGCAGTGCTCTGCTTGTCTTGTCTGAGAGGCTCCTTCTGGTAGATGCCATCATCATTACACTGGCAGATGTTACATTTCTGATAGTCTATGTCCCATTTTCCTGTGATTAAAAAGTGACCTGGCAGATGTTCAAGCTGTTTGCTGCTGCTAAGAATAAGCATACTGTAACTTACAAAACAGGAGAACAAACAAGACAATTTAAAAGGGAAACTAGAGCATCAAAGTAAAACAGAATACCTGAACCAGTATCGCAGCATATCTCTATTTGCTAAGCACCTTCTCAAACAGGCACTTACAAAGGCATGGATGATGGTGGCCAGATTAGTCTGAAAGAAAGTGTCAGTCTTCTCACCAGATGGAGTTGATGAAAGGCACTCCCAGCAATGGGGAGGGCCAGGTGCAGCAGAGGATTCGGGAGCACTCCAAGGCTGCAGACCTGAGTGATAAGGGTAAAGTACACAATGAGAAATTCCAGTTCCCTGCCCAAGTCCTATGGTCTGCCTACCACAGGGGTGGGCAAAATACAGCCCACGGGCCAGATGTGACCTGCCAGCCCATTCTATTTGGCACATGGGGCCTTTAAAAAATTTTTAGAAAATTAATTTATATCTGTCTATGGCCACTTGTCAAAGATGACAGGTGGCCAGCAGCATCAGGTCCCAACAGGAGCCTGTGGCTGAGCAACAAGGCTAATCCGACTCCACCCAGCCTCTTACCGCCCTCAGGCCCCAACCAGAAGGTTCTGCGGCTTCTGGCCCTGTGCCCCTGGAGCTGTTCTCCCTCCCTCTGTCTGAGTGGAAAATAAGGTAAGAGTGGCTGGAAGTGGTGGTTGCAGGGTGCGGTGGCGGCTGCATGGAGCAGCGCGGTGTCTGGGGCGCTGTGGGGAGCACCTTGGGAAGTGTCACCCATGTGGTGCGCAGCAGGTGGAGGAGCCACAGTGGTCCCCGGTGGGCAGCAGGGCCATGGCAGGCCCCAGCAGGCAGCACAGTGGGCCCCGATGGGTGGCGGGGCTGCGGTGGGCCCTGGGAGGCAGCAGAGCCGTCGTGGGCCCCAGCAGTTGGTGGGGTTGTGGTGGGTGGCAGAGCTGTAGCCGGGAGCCAGAGGGCAGCAGAGCTGCAGCAGGCCCCGACAGACAGCAGAGCCGCAGCCAGGCCCCAGTAGGCAGTGGGGAGGCGGTGGGCCCCAGGAAGGGGCAGAGCCACAGCGGGATGCAGGCCCTGGTGGGTGGCAGAGCCGCAGCTGGGCCCCAGCAGGACCCAGCAGGCAGCAGAGCCCTAGAGGGTGGCAGTGCAGAGGGCCCCAGTGGGCAGCATAGCTGTGGAGGGCTCTGGCAGATGGTGGAGCCACGGTGAGTGGCAGGGTTGCAGCAGGTGGCAGAGTCACAGCAGGGCTGTGGCAGGCAGTGGGCCCCAGCAGGGGCACTGCAGGAAGCGGGGG